CCTCTCAGCATGGGCAACTCCAGAGTGGAAGAGTGTCCAACCCCTCTCGAGGAGACTGGTTCCAGAGCCAGAGCGGTGCGTCGAGGTGAGTCCGGCTATATTTAGTCGGAACCTCTCAACCTCACACACCAGCTCAGGCTCCTTCCCCACCAGAGAGGTGACATTTCACGTCCCTAGAGCCAGCTTCTGTAGCTGAGGATCGGACCGCCAAGGTCTTCGACCACTGCCCAGTACACATTGTGCCCGATCCCTACGGCCTCTCCCACAGGTGGTGAGCCCATGGGAAGGAGGACCCATGTCTCCTCTTCRGGCTGTGCCCGACCGGGCTCCATGGGCGAAAGCCCGGCCACCAGGCACTTGCCAGCGTGCCCCACCTCCAGGCCTGGCTCCAGAATGTGGCTCCGGTGACCCGCGTCYGGGYGAGGGAACACTCAGTCCATTTATCGTACTCATCATTAGGGRTCTTTGGGCTGCACTTTGTCTGATCTYYCACCTAGGACCTGTTTGCCTTGGGTGACCCTACCAGGGGCAYGAAGCCCCYGACAACATAGCTCCTAGGATCATTGGGACACTCAAACCTCTCCACCACTATAAGGTRGCAGCCCAGGGAGAGGCTGGACATRTTTTGATGAAATGCTTAGGAAATAATCACTAAATGAACTAAGTCAGTTCAGGTCAAGATGGGAGCAGCAGCTAACTGCTGTTTTATACACCTGTTGCATGTTTCTGTTTTCATCTTTACTCACAGAGGCTCAGGGGGAAGTGGCAGTGTTCTCTTATGCGGGTAGTTTTCCTCGTTTCGTACACAAACGCGCGCACGCTCGCACACACACATGCGCGCAGCTGTATCTGACCACGTGCACGCCTTTAACACAACAGGATGTCATGTGGGGTGGATGTTTGAGGTGTGAAGGTTCACACAAGCCGTGACAAACACTATCTGCTTCTCAGAACTAATTATTCATTATCTAAGGGTCTAGTAGATGCTGGTGTTCTATAGCTAATCTCTGGCCTCCAACTACAGAATAACACCRTCACCCCAGATCTGAGCCGAAACCTGACTGCTGACTTATTGCAAGACCTGAACCATGCACAGTCCACGGCTTTAATTYACTTTGCCTATTTTGTTCTCTGCAGATGTCTTTAGTGWCAAGACAATCAGAAAGCAGGAGGGGACGACAGGAGGGAGATCATTATCTTCCTGGCTGCTGTGTGTTTACAACCAATGCAAAGATTAATCAAATCGGTGCTGTCACTCCTGCCTTGTTAGACACTGGGCCTGTCATTGTGAATAAACATTAGGGCAGTTCTTTTATTTGTTGGTTCGCTGCTGTCTTCCCTTCATCGTCTGAAGCATCAGTATGCACCATGCAGGCCTCGTGGAGGACTTTAAGATGAGCCCACTTCTCATCCAGAGCCCACGTTATGATAATGTCCTTATGAGTGTAGTAGGGGGATGGGAGTGAAGACATCGCTTCTCATAGATGTAGCCAGCAGGGAGTCCGCAGTCAGCTGCATTTAGGCCAGCTTTGTTGTTGTCTCAGCTCCTGTCTGTATTGTTGTTTTGTTCCCATTTGTGTCTCCTTTCAGACATATGCTCTCGTTTAAAAAAAAACTTGATCTTAGCCTCAAATTCAGAACAAAGTCTTGYGACATCTCTTCCTCTCTTCTGGTTTTTTGGAATTATTCACCACGTTCGGCTGCAGAAACCCCCCCGATACACGCCGAGCTGCTCTGTTTTAATTAGCTGCAGTGAGAAGCCGGTGATTTACCCAACACCTCATCTGAACTTATTTATAATTTAGCTCSCGGCGGGGGGAAGGCGAAAGCAACGATGTGCCTCGGGATTGATTTAAAAACGACGTTGCCATGAGGACACAGTGAGCATGCGGCCGAGGGGCGGGCAGGTGTCGGAGGCGGTCATCTCTGGACGGTAGATGAAGGAGGAGCCGAGGACCCGGCCTCGGCAGCGTGTCATCCAAGAAGCCATTTACTTCATTAACCTCGTCAGATCAGCGAGGCCTCAGTAATCAGCCTCGTCACACGTCCCATTAACTTCTATCAGCATGGCCCTCGCACACATRCAWACACACACACACGCAYACACACCTTATTTATTTATGCACACTTAGATCTGCAACACATCCCTGGGTTTCTGCACAGACACACACACTCCTCTCCCTCTGTCTCAACTAACCCCATTACCTCTGTCAGTCCCAGGGGTCCCTCAGCTCTGATGAACCCTCAGCTGCCCTCTGAGATTAGTGGACTTCCTGAGAAAAGCCCCCCCCATTGATTGAGGGTGAGTCTTTCCTGCTCACAATGTCAGCTCAAGGTTGGCACGTTCGCTCCCTCTTCCCTCAGCGCTGTCAAGTGCTCAGTCTTTGTTATTATTAATATCAGCATCTCCGAATTATTTCATCTCTGCTGACTCTGCTGCTCAGATWATTCACAGAGGCAGCAAAGCAATTATTGACATTCACTTATACAGTCATCTCTGAGTTCCTTCCCCCTCTCAAAGGGTTTATTAATTTCTTCTTTGTTTCTTTTTTATTTTATTTCATTTTTTWTGGTGATCTTTCAGTCTCTTCTCTGCTTTGACTAAACTTTTGCCACATTCAGTGGAGAGCTTTGGATGTTTGATTTTATGCATCCCGCTACAGGGTGAAAAAAACTGAGAAAGCAGAAAGAGGCGATGATGGTGATGATGATGGGGGAAAGAGGACCAGCTCAGAGTCTGTAATAGAGACTTAGATGAATATCTGAATCAGTGAGACGGATTGATGTTTCTGTGCTGAACCTGATGAGCGACGCAGCAGATTTCCTGTGGGGGTGAATGGAGATGAAAAGATTATTCAGATATTTGGATCCTTCAGGAGGCAGGGAGGTTGGCTCGCGCCGCTGTTCCTTTCCTCCCCATCATAATTCAATATTTACAGTTTAAGCTGGAAAACGGCTTCCACTTGGCCTCCTGTATCTGGTATCCATGGCAACAGATTTGAGAAGAGAGTGTCGTTTTCGTGTGTCTGCGGATGAGTGTGTGCGTGTGTGTGAGAGAGAGCGTAATCTCTACTGATACACTGCCATTGATTGGTTGTTAGGGAGCAGCTGTTGACCCCTTGATCTCCGGGGTCTCTTTGTGCTTTCGCACACATCTCAAATCAATGAATGTGAACACACACACACACACACACACACACACACACACACACACACACAC